GGAAGTCGGAAACCGTTCGGAGAAATAAAGATCGGCACTATTTCTCCGAACGTTCGGAGAAATAGTCACTTCGTTATTACTATTTCACTTTTCGAATCGAGCTGAACTACGCGGGTCGCCATTTTGTTTTACCCGGAAGTTCTCGCAAGATCTACTCCTCCCCTCTCTCTCTCTCTCTCTCTCTGTCTCTTTCTGAATACTGTCTATTGGTGTGGACGATCAAATTGACCAAAACAAAGTTAAAAAATGATTTTAAACAAGAAAACTAAATTAATTGGAAGTGTATACAGACCCGGTAACCGGGAACAAAGTCAAAAAGTATACAGACCCGGTAGGGGAACTCTTTTGTGATTTCGGAAAGTTTCTGCGCCCAGACCCGGTAGTGCATGTGTGTGTGTGTGTGTGTGTGAGAGAGAGAGAGAGAGAGGTGCTAGCAAAGTGCATGACATGCCCCAGTTGGCAGGAGGGAACGAGAGAAAGATAGAGTGGGAAAAAGGTGGGGAGAAAGAAAGACAGACAAACAAAGAAAAAGAGAAGGCGAGTGATACACACATACAAAGAGAGAGAGAGGGAGAGAGACATTTCCGGTATTCTAAATTCTTCAAATTGAGATTCCTCCAACTCCAAAACGGAGGAAAAACGATCGTTCATCGAAAAGACATCCGCAATCTTCATTTAGATCTTGGCTAGCCTCGAAACCAGATCAATGATTTCAGTCTGTCTAGATCTAGCCCTAGGCCATAGATCTAGAAGAACCTAGGTCTACACCACAGAATTCTACACTAAGTGTAGAATTCAGTGGTCTACCCTGAGCCTGAGCCAAGAGGGCGCTGAAACTTTCCAAAATCACAAAAAAGTTCCCCTACCGGGTCTGTAAACTTTGTGACTTTGTTCCCGGTTACCGGGTCTGTATACACTCCCAAATTAATTTGGTTGTCTACAAAGATGCTACGGCTATTTAACTTTCCGAATCGAGCCGAACTACTCGGGTCGCCATTTTGTTTTGCCCGGAAGTTCTCGCGCTACTCCTCTCTCTCTCTCTTTCTCTCTCTCCACTGCCCACAGACAAAATTGCACGCTTTTAGTCTAACACTAACAGTAGTAATAGATCTAGAACGTTTGTTCACAGCACAGAATTCTATAATTCTGTTATCACAGTGTAGAATTCTGTAGTTCAGAGTGAACACTTCACTGGTTGGCCTAGGCTATAACGGTGAACGCCCACCGGGTGAGAATAGCCAAAAGACTCGCCTGCGCTGTTCTCACCCGGGGTGAGAATAGAGGTGGCCTTTTCGGTGTACGAGGTCTGTCTCAGAATAAAGTTTCCCTCCTCAATAAAACTCAAAGTACGCAACCAACAGCCACTAAAGTTTGTGAGGTCATGACACCATGACTAAGAAATCTCAACACCAAATTGCAAGTGCATTGGTGAATGGGTCATAGAGCCGTGACGTGTCAAGTGTGGTGTACTTCTGCACTTTGTCCAAGGCAGGCAAATCCGAGGAAAATGGCTGAGCAAAACATTGGTGCAACCATCTCATGCTACGATTTCTGAGTTGTAATCAAATTTTCAACTTTTCTCGGCAAGTCTGCAGTTGAAACCCATATGGTGATCTGTACAAACTAACAGGGAATAAATAATGACCCATCAATTCAAACAGTAAGGAAATGGATCAGGGAGGTTGAAGGTGGGTCTGACATGAAAGATGAAGCGCACACAGAAAACATGGGGAGAGAAAGGTGATGCACTTTCATTGGGTTTTTTTCGACATGAGTGGCATCTTTGATCTTACTGAGCTGACTAGTCACACCTAGCGTAACTGTCAATGGTGGCTACTACAGGTTCGTCCTCAAAGACAAGCTGAGACCTGTGATCCAGAAAAAAAAGACCCGCTTTGCTTGAAGAAGGCGTCATCCTGCATCATGACAACGCACCTGTTCACAAGTCCAGAGTTGTGAACGAGCTTTTTGAGGGCTACTCGTGGGATTCAATGGTGCACCTGCCCAATTCGCCTGATCTCGCCCCAGGCAACTTCCACCTCTTCCCCACGGTGAAAAAAATACTGCGAGGTCGGCGATTTGAGGACAAGGACCAGATTCAAGAGGCTATGAGAAAGGCACTCGGGACCTTGGACAAACGACCACTGACCACTGTCTTTGACCGCTGGGAACATGAAATGGAGAAATGTCTTGAACTTGATGGTTCCTACGTTGAATAGGTATTTGAATAGGCTATCATTATTCGGACTCGAGTCCGAATAACATTTTTTCATATTCGGACTCGAATCTGAATTAAAAAATTCATATTCGGACTCGAGTCCGAATAAGAAAAAATGTTATTCGGACACGGGTCCGGAAAAAAGGAAGTGTCTTCGTTCTATAGATCTAACGTTCAGTGCTTCCAATTTTCCGCCATTTATTAGTTTCCCCCACACCTTGTCTGCCGATCCGATGCCCGCCGCCTCATTGATACGCCCCCCCCCCTCCCCACCCCCCATGTTTCCCACTTCTTTGTAGTAGAAAAAGGTAAAATTGAAGATCAGCAGATCTCCTGGCACCTGCATATTATGAGCTGTGTAAAAAAAAAAAAGACCGATTCGTTCAAATACACACAAGCCTGTGTCATCTCGATTGTTTACCAAGAAAAAGTTGTGTTGCTGTCTAGAGCCGAGCATACGGCAACTTTTGATTCCATAGACAAGCGCACAATTCATCACGTAGATCTACGTCAAGACTAGCTTATTATTGTAATAATGATCAGTTGCCGGGGGGGTGGGACTGGCGCGTATGCGACGTTCAACGCCTGGACCGATAGAGCCCCCCCCCCCCCTTCCCTGACACGCACACACAGCCACACGTGTGCAGGCCGCCCATCTGACCCCGACACACGCTAACAAGCGATCTTTAATTGCTTCTGATGACCTCTTGACAAATAAACATTTATTAGAAGCACTCTAACTTTTCAGGCCGGCCTCAAATTCATCATAAGATAAAAACTTGGCTCCGGCACAATTTAGCGCCATTTTGCCCGAAGTGATCCCGGTCTCTACCCAGCCTGAGGCGAGTCAGGAGTGAGGCAGGACAGGAAGCCGGAGTCACGAGTCACAGGAAGTCGGAAGTGATGTCATGCTGGACAAGAATCAGAGTCCGAATAACATTTATTCATATTCGGACTCGAGTCCGAATAGTCACTTCGATTTAAATAAATATAAGCTTTCCTTTGATACCAAATACAAGGTGATTTATAATTATTTGTGAAAACAGCATGACGGGGAAACTTTATTCTGAGGCACACCTCGTAGGCCACCTTACCCCGGGTGAGAATTTATACCCATGTCTCGCTATGCTATTCTCACCCCCCCTCCCTCCCCCTCCCAGGTATGTGGTTGGAAACAAATTTAATACAAGTGTATACTAGACCCGGTAACTGGGAACAAAGTCACAAAGTTTACAGACCCGGTAGGGGAACTCTTTTGTGATTTCGGAAAGTTTCAGCACCCAGACCTAGTAGTACAGGTGTGTATGTGTGTAGGCCTAGTGTGTGAGAGATCAGGGGAAAGTATCACAATGCCCCAGTTGGCAGGAGTGAACAAGAGAAAGATAGAGTGGAAAATAAGTGGGGAGAGACAAAGACAAACAAAGAAAAAGAGAATGCGAGCGATACACAGAGGAGAGAGAGAGACCAAGGCAGGCAGAAAAAGAGGGGAGAGAGGCAGAGAAATAGAGTGACTCACTGCTCAATTGAAATCATGACATTGTTCTTTTCTTCAAATTGTGATTCCTCCAACTCCAAAACGGAGGAAAAAACGATCGTTCGAATAGAAAAGACATCCGCAATCTTCATTTAGATCTAGATATATAGATCTAGGCTAGGCCTCGAAACTAGATCAATGATTTATGCGTGTCTGTCTAGATCTGCCATAGATCTAGAAGAACCTAGGTCGACCGTGAGCAAAAAAGGCGCTGAAACTTTCTGAAATAGATTTCACCTACTGGGTCTGTATACTTTGTGACCTTGTTCCCAGTTACCGGGTCTGTATAAACTCCCTTTTTAATAATGTAAAAACGTTTTTCACTTCTCCAGAGAAAAAAAAGCCACTCCTGGGGGGGTGGGGGGGGGGGGTAATTATTGTATAGGAGAATGTGTACACACCTACTTGCCCTTCGTCTGTTCCTATCGTCATCGCTCTGTGTAAACGAGCCGGCGAGCCCTCGGCCCTTTACTCGCATCATTAACGAAGTGTTGGCTAGGCCTGTTTATAAGCACATTCTCGTTTCCTACCGACGCTTCTGAGCGGGATGTGGGACCGGCCGGACCATTCGTTGTTTACACACTTAACGATAGCAGGCCTCTCATTCTGTGCCTGCTCACAATAAATTATGGTTCAAGGAACAGAGAATGTGTACAAACGTAACGAGCCACAAGCACGAGACAGTAAATTTAAATGCTCTTGCACAACAGTAGAAGGTTTGTAAATTATTCAGAGACCAAATGGGCTAGGGCATTAAATCGAGAGTTAACTAGTTTAAGTAAGCAATCCGAGCTCTTTTCTTCACTTTCATTTTTTTTTTTTCTTGCCTCTCCTTTCCCTATATCTTCTTGAACATTTGGAGTTTGGAGCCAAAAAAGAGCGAGAGAGTCAAATGAAATTTTCCGGGCCAGACACGATCCAAAAGAACCAAATTTCTGGGATTTAGCTCCAAACTGACAACCCTGACTTTGAATATTCAGACATGAACATGATGGTGTAGAGCATCAGCCCTGACACCCCCCCCCCCCCCCTCAGGATCATGCCCGCTAAACCTCAGCCCTGATCCCTCGAGGGTCCTTTCTGGTAAAACGAGGGAGTGAGAATTATGAATAGCGAGACATGGGTTTTATTCTCACCCGGGATGAGAATAACCACTTCTTTTTCGGTAGTTCCCACCCCCCAATTATTATTCGCCGGTTTTGGCCCCAAGAGTAGGCGGGTTTCAGGGGGGCTTGGGCACTCCTGTACAATTGCGGTCCCCTTTGCACTATTTTTAAAATCACACTAGGCCTAGCTCAGAGTACTGGATATTGATACTGATTTAAATAGTCGGTATCAATCTTTTATGTTTTATCTGTAGCCTACAACATGAGCAGTAAAATTTCACTTGTTTTTAACAAGGCAGGGGTGGGGTTCGGGGGGGGGGGC